GAGACTCTGTCTCAAAAAAAAAAAAAAAATGAAACTAATATCTGCTCCACAGGCACGGAAGTAGTTGGCACACTGTGAGATCCTGAGGTGAAAGGATAAAATGCGGCGATGTTCACGCCAGCGCTCGTATCCTATTCATGCCAGCATTAACAAATCGAACACTGTATTAGTGCCACCATAACAAAGTACCACGAACTAGGTGGCTTAAAACCACAGAAATGTATTCTCTCACAGAATTGTACAATCAAGGTGTTAACAGGGCCATGCTCCCTGTGAAACCTGCAGGGGACAATCCTTCTTGGCCCCTTCTGGCTTCTGGTGGTTGCCAGAAATCCATGGTGTCCCTTGGCTTAAAGCTGTGTCACTCTAATCTCTGCCTCACGTGGCTGTCTTCTCCCTGAGTGTCTCTCTCCTCTTCTTAGGAGGACGCAGTCACATTGGATTAAAGGCCCAGCCCACGCTAGTATGACCTCATCCCAACTAATTATACTTGCGATGACCCTATTCCAACAAGGTCATATTCTGAGGTCCTGGGCGTTTAGGACTTCAACATATCTTTCTTGGAGGACACAAGTCGAGGTGTAACAGACATGTTCTAGGCTAACTATGAATATTTTTCTGTTACTCCCAATTTTTAGAAGTATATATCAGTATTTTTTCTGTTTACCACCATCTTTTTTTTTTCTCTTTTCCTTAGATCGATGATATGTTTAATGAAATCAAATTTAGTGAGTATGTGGACACTGGGAAGCTAATTGACAAAATCAACTTACCAGATTTCCTCAAAGTTTACCTCAATCACAGGCCACCTTTTGGTAACAACATGAGTGGCATCCACAAGAGCTTTGATGTCCTTGGTTACACCAATTCAAAAGGAAAAAAGGCTATTCGAAGAGAGGATTTCCTGAAACTCCTCCTAACTAAAGGTAAATACACAAATAAGGACACTGGTAGCATCCTTGGGTCATGCCCAGTGGAGAGAACAGAGTCTACAGAGACAGACAGACCCTCTGGGAGCCTCACCTTTCATGAAAGAACAATAACTTGACAGGGTGTCAGCCGTGAGGGGCGCTGCCTGCCAACCTGTACAACTGGCAAGTGGCAGGTAATGGGAAGGACCCTGACCTAGAAACCAGGAGGATGGGATTCATGTTCCATCTTCCTGAAACTCTACAAGACTCAGCGTCCCCACTTGTAAAATGAGAATAAAAATGCCAGCTTAGGCCGGGCGTGGTGGCTCACGCCTGTAATCCTAGCACTCTGGGAGGCTGAGGCGGGTGGATCGCTTGAGGTCAGGAGTTCGAGACTAGCCTGAGCAAGAGCGAGACCTCGTCTCTACCAAAATTAGAAAGAAATTAGCCAGACAACTAAAAAAATATATATATAAAAAATTAGCTGGGCATGGTGACTCATGCCTGTAGTCCCAGCTACTCGGGAGGCTAAGGCAGAAGGATTGCTTGAGCCCAAGAGTTCGAGGTTGCTGTGAGCTATGACGAAGCCACAGCACTCTACCCTGGGCAACAGAGTGAGACTCTGTCTCAAAAAAAAAAAAAAAATGCCAGCTTATCAGTCTCCCAGGGGTATCTTAAGATTGGGATGCATTTGTGAAATGAAACCATACCAAAGTCAACCTTTTTATTTTTACTACTGTTTTCCTTGTTATTTCATGTGAGGAAGTCAAGTAGGCTTTCTCTCTCCAAGACATTTTCATCTTAGTCAAACTAAGTGGTTCTCATATGAGGGAATTTGGAATAAGGCTGTGTCCAGTCTTACAGCCAGTTGCCTTGTTTCTCTATACGAGCCCTCACGTGCTTTCCCTGGTCGTGGCACCCTTTTTAACACCACATAAGGAACAGTATCATGGGACTCTCTAGATTGTTTTTGTGTCTAACGAAAAGGAAATAGGAGAATAGAATATTCTCTTTCAGACCCTGAATATAACCCTAAGCCCTGATATTGTGCTTAGCCCCAAGAGCTAAACAGCCACCTTTTTCCTTTGTGACACCCAGGTGAGCACATGACAGAAGAGGAGCTGTCCGACTGCTTCGCTACGCTGTTTGGCCTGAATCCTGAGGGATGGAAATCGGAGCCTGCAACCTCCTCCTTCAAAGGTACCGTGGCTGGCTCTGTCCGGGCATGGAGCCGTGGCTCACTCATTTGTCGACTTAAGCGCATTTATTTCTCCTGACCAGCGCAGGCCACTCTCCTTAAGACTGTGCACACGACAAAGTCAGTCTGTTGGGAATCCCACATGAGTAAGTTGTGAAAAGACCAGTGAGCGGTGGTGATGTCTAAGAGAGGGAAGCTTTTGTTCCCATGCTCCGCTCTTCTTTTGTGTCTTCCGGCCTTGTTTTTCCCTTTATTCCACTGACCTGTTCATCTTTCCAGCTTGGGTGGGTGGATATTGGCCACCAGTAGAGGCTGCAGTTTGTAGCTGTCTCAGAAGAGGTTTGTCAAGAGAGACTCGAGGAGAGGGCAGCACGGGCCCAGCTTCAAGCTGCCTGAACTTTAAAGTCTTTGAAGATCCTCCTCCTCTCCCTTCCGGCTATAGCTTAAGTATTTTTCACCTTCTTCTTTCAGTCCACTGCACCTGAAGTTAGGGTTGTGAATTTCAGCTCGGGGGACAGATCCAAGCAGGCTGCGCCTGGGCCTGTCTGTGCTGGAGCATCTCCACGGTGGGCGGAGCCCCCGCCAGTCCCCCTTCTCCCTCTCCTTTCATTGTCCATTCCCCATATCACTCAACACATTTCCTGAACTCAGATAACTCTTGACTCTAGCATCTCATGAGTCACTTCCAACCTGCAAGCTTTGTGTACTTCAGCTCTCAGAATGTAACTTTCCCAATTGTTACATATTTATGTCTTGTTCCTAGGAATCCTGAAACAGTAAAATCAGTGATATCATGTGGGTATTTGCAGTGAGATTTGGTCAACAGTGCTCCATTCCGTAAGGGAGGGATTTTAACCAATTTCCACCCAGGGGTTTTCAAGGAATCAAAGCTAAACCATAACACAAAGTACCTCTTGCTTTTGTTTAGTAGCATTTCCTTGTGTTTTTGGAAAATCCTTCTGAATTAAAAACCTAATCATTGTGAAGACACTTGGTTTTCTTTTCTTCTCTGGCTAGGTTCAGAAATTTGTCTTGAAGAAGAACTTCCAGAAGAAATCACTGCAGAAATATTCACGACTGAGATTCTTGGCTTAACCATTTCAGAAGATTCCGAACAGTATGGTCAGTGAAGTTGTAAGGAATGTTTGAAGCACAAAGGACTTTGTGTGTGCATGCGTGTGTGTTTTCCAAGAGGCACTGCTTTTTCTACATCTCCCTACCCCCACTCTCGTCTTTAGAACATTTAGACATTAAAAGAAAGTTTCTGTTAAGCCATGGAATTTACAAAGTTGGACATTCCACTGTTTCTGAAATAGAAAAGTGGGTGGAGGCAAGAAAAACACTGGCAACTGGACGTAAACGGTGGCTGGATACCCGGGTCTAAGGCAATGCTGCCTGGCGGGGTTTGCACAGGACACGAGGGGGTGTGGCCTCTGGGGGCAGAGGGAGCCTCAGCCAGCAACAGATCTTCCTAAGGACGTGAGTGGGAAATGATGATCAGTGGCCCTATGCCCTTTTCTTGGAGTGCCACCTGGCCCCTAGGCCTGGTGTGGCCCAATATGGGCCACCCCTGCCTGTTGTTAGGCTCAGGTGGGGGTGCCGGGTGCTCAGGGCTCCTGGAAGTCCCTGATTGTGGCTGCCTATCAGCCAAACACCCAAGCAGTTGTGTGTGGCCGTTATGAAGAGCATCACTGGCCATGCTTAACCCCAGTGGCAACTGTCAGAACACAGCAGCAGCCCCGGAGCCGTGTGCCGCACCTGGGCGAAACCACAGGGCAGCCCCGCCCCCGAGACCGCGAGTCTGCTTCCAGCACCACACAAACCCGGCTCGAGCTGCCACCTCACCCACCACTGGGCTTCAAAACATGTAGTAGGCAAAAATAGGGGCTAGTTCCCCAGTTCCAGGGACATTTAGGGGACATTACTAGTTAAGTTCACAGCAGTATTTTGGCCTTGAAAATAGCGTAGCAGTGCAGTGTGAAGAGATGAAAGCTATGGTCTGATCTTACTCAGTTCTGAGGTCTCATTCAGGCCAGAGTGCCCAATGTCATTCTCTGGCTAGCTCAGTCCAGCACACCCTCCCACCCAACCGGGTTCTTCACCGGAGAGACTAGCACCTGAGATAGCATTTATGATCCACTGAAGGTGCCTTTCTCCTAAGGAGCAGTCTGTGTAAGAGAAACGGAATAGCAACCACGTCCTTACTTGTGCCCAAAGCCCTCCCCACTGCACAGTGTCCAATTGGAAATCTGGCATGGGAGCGTCTTTGGAACACCCTGGAACACGGAACAGCACTGTCTACCCCAAGCCAGGCTGTGTCACCGCAACCTTGGGGCAGACAGCATGGGCCAAGGTTCTGCAGGCGCCAGCTTGTCAGATCGTGTCACCAAGGCTTTGCAACCTAGTTTACATTTTGTTCTTTTTAAAAAACACAAAAAGAAAAATAGCTCTGTGAACCAACTTTGCAGCTGCTGAGGGTTAGGAGATATATTTATTATCAAGCCAGTTAAAAAGTTCATGGGGACATACTAGGGAACAGGAAACTCAAATGACTTGTTGTTCTCTTCAAAAAATAACTCAAAATTAGATGCAGTCTGGACACCAATTGGGCTTTTTTCATTCAATCTGGCACCTTTCTATTTTGTTCTGATTGATTACATATATCGGAACAGTTGTCCTACTGGAAGTGACCAGTGACGAGTTGGGCTCACTGTGGCTGGGCAGGGAGCTGGGACCTCTGTCACATGCAGGTGCAGCTGCTCTCTCTGTGCTGCTCTGGCTCCCTGCGTCTCTCTGAGTCAGCATGGAGGGAGGTGGCTGTCCTGGTTCTGGATGTTCACCTAGGAGTCTCGAATAGCCGTGGACAGCAGCATTGGTATGAACGGCACTCCCACCCCACTTCCAGCCCAGCCCAGCCAGGGGGCCCCTTCTCACCTTGGGGACCTCTTTCTGCAGGTGCTTTTGTTTTGTTGTCTCTTGACTTATTCGACAAAGGTGCGGCACAGCCAGTGTGTCCCCCTCAGCCCCAGAAGGGCCTCTTCACCTCCCCTGGGGCAGTGATGGCCAGACAGGTAGAGCATGAGGGTGGGGCCAGATGCAGAGAGCTCAGAGTCCCCAGCCATGGGGTGGGAAAGCAGTGATGACAGAAAGGGATGACAAAAAAAGTGTCATAGAGCTTGTGTGCCAAGACTTAGGGACAATGGTCAGGTTGGTGGCTCACGCCTGTAATCCTAGCAATCTGGGAGGCTGAAGGAGGAGGATTGTTTGAGCCCAGGAGTTTGAGGCTGCAGTGAGCTATGATTGCACCACTGTGGTTCAGCCTGAGCAACAGAGCATGACTCCATCTCTTACCAAAAAAAAAAAAAAAAGACTTAGGAACAAAACACTGAACACCAAAAAGCACATTATGATGTTCCCTTAGAAAAAGGATCCTGTGTGTTTCAGACAGGGCCTCTGGCTAGCTGTCCTGGTTTGTTACTTCTAGATCAGGAACCACCAAGGGCTTCCCCCAGCCCCAGTCTCTGCTCCAGCCCCTCTCCCCCCTGAGCAGCCAATGCCTGATTTGCATAGCATCCGCCCTGGGCTTGGCTGCGCTACTGCTCTGCTTCTGCCATTTTATAGATACCTGTGTGCCCTTAGGCGTGGCTAAACTCTTAAACCTCTGCTGCCTCCTGGCACAGCTCCTGGGGAGGCTGTGAGGATGAAAGGGATGGTGCGAGTAAAGCATTACTGGCACAGGGTGGCACTCAGAATATGACAGCAGCTATTATTATCACAGGCAGAAACCGCGCCTGGGAACCGGGAAGACATTTGGTGAAAATTAACCTCTCCCAATCCCAGAGTTTGAAAAGAGTTAACATTTGCTCAAACAGAGATCTCTCTCAGTTTTGACGGTGAGCCTTCAACAAACATTTGTGGGACGATGGAACGAGCGAACTCGAAGCATCAGTGCTCATTTCACAGCTGACTTGGCTTTTGGTTAAGGTGAATGCCAGGTCCTCACAGGGCCCTCAACGTCAGGGCTGGCAGACTCCCCCTGTCAAGGCAACGAGAGTAAATATTGAGGCTCTTTGGGCCAAAGGGTCCCTCTTGGACTCTGTGACCCTGCCGCTGTGGCGCAAAAGCAACCAGGAGACTGCTGTGGCTGCGTCCTGATCGAGGTTACTTGTGGACTCTGAATTTCCACACACCATGAGATATTCTTCTTTAGATTTTTTTCCAACCATTTAAAAATATGAAACCCATTCTTAGTTTGTAGGCCATACAACACAGCCCCTGGATCCATCCCACAGACCGTGGTTCACCCACCCCACTCTACCTCGTAGGCCGAGGTTGCTCATTCCAGCACACTTCCACAAATGCACAAATCTGCACAAAGCACCTGACCAGCACTCTGCAAAAAAGGTCAAGGCCATGACAGACAAGACAGGACTGAGAAACTCCCACAGACCAGAGGGGCCCAGGGAGACACGACCCCTCAGTGCAATGTGGGAACCCAGATCCATTCCTAAAACCGAAAAAGGACATTAGGAGAAAACTGGTGAAATCCAAATAAATTAGTCTGTCATTTAGTGAGTAGTATCTCACCAATGTTAATTTCTTAGTTTTGATAAACGTATCATGGTTGTGTAAGATGTTTACATTGAGATAGCGGTGACACGTCTGTGGGAGCTCTGTACTAGCTTTGCAACTCTTCTGTAAGTCTAAAACCATTTCAAAAGAAAACGTGTTTACTAGCACTCTGGGAGGCCGAGGCGGGTGGATTGTTTGAGGTCAGGAGTTCGAGACCAGCCTGAGCAAGAGCAAGACCCCGTCTCTACTAAAAATAGAAAGAAATTAATCGGACAACTAAAAATATATAGAAAAAATTAGCCAGGCATGGTGGCGCATGCCTGTAGTCCCAGCTACTCGGGAGGCTGAGGCAGGAGGATTGCTTGAGCCCAGGAATTTGAGGTTGCTGTGAGCTAGGATGACGCCACGGCACTCTAGCCCGGGCAACACAGTGAGACTCTGTCTCAAAAAAAAAAAAAAAAAAAAAAGCGTGTTTAAAGAATGAAATCTGTACCATCCTTTTTTTTTTTTTTAAGAGACGGGGTCTTGCTGTGTCGCCCAGGCTGGAGTACAGTAGTGTGATCATAGCTCACTGCAGCCTGGAACTCATCATAGCTCACTGCAGCCTGGAACTCCTGGGTTGAGACAATCCTCCTGCCTCAGCTTCCCGTGTAACTAGAACTACAGGCAAGTGCCACCCGCCTGGCTGTGCCACCCTTTTGACTCAGTCACCCTGAATCGTTTCCATGGTCTGCCTGGCACCTTTCAGTTAGTTGTGCAGGAAATGCTCCTGAGGCAGTCAGTGCCCTGCACCTGGGTCCCCTCACCTAAGTCTGTCCCATGCAGACCCAGCCCCCTGCTGTGCTCTGAGGAATACAAACAAAAAAGGTCTTTTTTTTTAAACATCTGTGTCCTCAGGCTATGGCTGCCCCAGACAACTGGTGTTTTTCCAGCTTGAGCATGTTCTTTAGGGATTTGGCCAGCAGTTCCCTTGCGGGCAGCTATTTCCAAATTGATTGTAATAAATAGATACAGGGCACTGGGAATCAACAGCAAGTTGCCACCCTGCTCGAATGTCACATAACCACCCCCTGCTAGCTTAGCGTGAGGGAAAATTGAAAAACAAAAAAGAAAGAAAAACCGGTTGATGCAACATTGTTCAGGGCAGTGCAATACCGAGTGTCTGGACAGTTAGTTGGTAGCGGGATCTCAGGTCCCTGGGGCTCCTGTCCTCCTGAGCATGCCGGTGCCTAAGGCGACTCTGCAGTAGGTGACGGGAGGAACTGATCAGGGCTGGGTGAGAGGCATCGGCCCCACTGGCTCCAGCCCTTCCCGAGAGGCTGGTGGGTGGCTGGCCGTGCGGTGAGGAGCCATGGGGAAGCGCAGCACTGATGTCGCCTCCCATGGGAAGGCGTCCCACTCTGGTTTACCGACCCCACCACATACTCTTGTTTTGTTGACTGGAAGTCACAAGATACATCAGTGTAAACATAATATTTATTTTTTCATATCTTACTCTTTAAAGCAAGTGGAGTTTTTTTCCTTTGGGGGGGGCGAGTTTAATTATCACAAGTAGTATACACTCCTTGTGAGCAGATCGAAGCACACAGGAGTTGTGCTGTAAAGTGCGAGTTGCCCCCAGCCCACTGGCCGGCACGTGTGCCCTGGACCTGGACCACAGCTCGGTGGCAGAGAACACACCGGGTGAAGGCACTGCAGCCATGACAGG